CATCTCTTGATTACACTATGTAACATGTGCTCGTGGATATTTACATTTTATCATTTTCATGCTCTTATGGTTGTGTCCTATGTCGATCTAACGACATGATGCAATAGGTTGATCGTTTTATAGATATTCTTGTTTATCAGTTTCCGTAGCATAGGTTGATCGTTCTTCTTTATTCTAATAGGCTTCTGGAGTTAAAGTCAGCAAAGTAACATACGAAGACATCAAGGGAACTTCCGCCACTAAAATAGCAATCAAACTCTTGAAATTGACATACTCGATCTTAAGATTTATGGTGATTGCAACATTTTCATAAAGGACTTAGAATTGAAACACAGTGGATTGATTGATCAAATTTGAATTTCAAATGTCGGCTTTGAGACCCAAAAAAGAGAGTTTAATCCTAAAAGTTTCCTCTCATTTCTTGTTAATAAGGTATAATTTTGGGCTCTTAGCGTTCATAACAAAGAGTGTGAAATCATAGTGAACTGAGGGCTAGAACGTGCAAATGGAAAAAAGTTTGTCACCGAAGATCGGGGTAAGTTTGGTTAACCCCATGATTTTGCCCCTCAATTTCTCTTTTCTTAGTTAATGTTAATTGTTGAGATTGGTACCGACATGTTCAAGTTAAGATATCTTGAAGTTTGGTGAAGGAACCAATTTCAATCGAGACCTAGAATGTGCTGATCGAGGATGATATCGTTCTATCTAAGCCTTCCCCACACGCATGTCGGAATGGTCACAAGGTAGAAGATGATCATGTGGTTGGTTCAACTGAACTAGCCATTAATGGTTGATCTAAACCCCATCCTTTAAACTATTTAATGTTTTTGTTCAATTTTAACCAAAGGAGGATCGTAAATTGTGATTTAACTTCAGTCTTTCTTCCCGTTTTTTCAGTCTTGTCTATTTCATTTTATAGTTGTATCCAAATCCATTTTCCCCTTTGTAATATATTTAAAGTCTTGTAATTTTATGTTAACCTGGTATTGTTTAACTTAATTAGATTTTAATTTTACTGCATTTTCTTATTTTATTTTATTTTACTTATATTGTTATGTGTTTTCGCTTTCGTCTTTTTATTTTCAATCCCACTTTCGAAGTCTTAGAATTCGTGCTTGACATCTTGGATTTTCCATGCCGCCATAATATAAAATTACGAATAAAAGAATTATAAAACTTTAGGGCATAAATCCCAACAATGGGAGACTTGAAGCAGTAGCAGCACGAGACTGAATCCTCCAAAAAGATTGGTAGAAATCCATGACAAGGACCTCACAGCCAGAACAACTACAATCAATGGTCCTCGTCCCGCTTCATATACAAGGTGGTGTATCGAGAATCTGAATACCCACAAACGGTGGACCTTCATGCCTTCCTAGCCAAAGCGTAAAAAACCCTGCATTGGGGGTCCTAAAGTACCTATTTGCTTTCCAAAAAAGATTGGTAGAGACAAAAGAGTCAAGGTCTTACGTACGTTGAGGACTAGGTTAACCATAGATCGGCCAAGAGCACAACGGTCGACTCTAGAGCTATGCACAACTTTATGATAGAGACCGAAGGAAAACATTAATCATTCTATAGTACAAAGATAGAAATGATGAAAGTTGTCAATTTGGTATTTTTATCTACCTCAAGAGTTTTAAAGAGAACTTCCATAAGTGAGAGAGAGTAAAAAAAGTGTATTAATGATAAAAAAAAATTGTTGATCGATATAAAAACGGCATATCATTGATATAGTCTATCAATGGTAGACTTGGAGACTTCGAGAAGTGTAACAATCGTAAGTTATTTCTTTGTGTGATGCATTTGTAAATTTAATGGACAGTTCCAAATAGGACCAACAATTTTGCTTCTCTTAATTTGTGTGACATCTTTGCAAATAAAAAGTCATCGACTTTATACTACATCACTAACTACAAATAAAAAAATACTATGAAAAATATATGACAGTGACTTCTCGAAACTATCTTATAGAATATTTTATTATTTTTATTATATTAGAGAATCCATATAGAATCGGTATCTAAAAATATAAACACGGAAAAGTATTAGGAAATTGTTCTTATTATAATTAGGACGTTGAGAAGCCCAATAGACCGTCAATGAAACTGATATTGTTACATTGCATAGTTCTTTAGTTCACCCAGACAATTAAAATTAAACACCTATTTTAGAAAACAATGGGTTGGAAAAAATAGGGTTTTTTTAGTTAAGATCTCCCCATCCCTTTTTAAGTAAATCATATTGACAAAGAAACTTTTTTTAAATTCAATAATTACCTAGGCGACCCCTGATTAAAATTGGTTAAACCGTATAAAAACAATAATGGTTAAATAGAACAAGAAACCGAATAAAACCAATAATGGTTAAATAGAACAAGAATAGAATAGTACTTGAGACGCGTGGGTTAAAGTTAGAGTTAGAAGGGTAAGCATTAACCTACAAATATCACTCCACAGCTCTTCCATTTTCCTATCACTTGCTTCCTTTTTCTCTCTCTCATGCTTATCACCAACCCTTGTATCATCAAGTTTTCTTCCGCTCTTCTAGTAACCTTCCATGTTTTTCTTTCCCTTCAACTTCTGTTTTTTAACCATGCCTTGGCTGCTGAATTAACATTCAATATTATTAGCCTCGGTGCCAAGCCCGATGGAAAGACTGATGCCTCGTCTGTGCTTCAAATGACATGGGCTAAGGCTTGTGACTCGTCTACACCGGCCACTATTTACGTTCCCGAGGGTATATTCTACGTTCGAAGTGTGAGCTTTAATGGGCCTTGTAAGAACAATGTTATTACTCTTCTCATCGATGGAACTCTTGTGGCTGCTCGGACATTCAAGTTTTAGCTAAAACTAAATCTTGGATTGAGTTTAGTCACATAGATGGGCTTTTCATTACTGGCGGTACTATCGATGGGCAAGGAACTGCCTTATGGAATTGTAAACACTCGAGGAAGAGTTGCCCCGTTGGAGTCACGGTATGCAAAATTTGAGTTGGCTTGATAAAAAATAAAATTTGAAAATTTTTCTTTGGCCGAAGGTTGAAAGAAAATGAATCGATTAATTACAATATTAATTTAAATTTATATTGATTCTTGCTTTTAATTCTTTTGTATCGATAGAGCCTTGAAATAAATGTTGCACAAAACGTGAACATTAATGGATTATCTTCGATTAACAGCCAAAAGTTCAACATTGTGGTGCATGGGTGTCAAAACGTGCATATGACAAGAGTGAATGTCTCGGCTGCAGACGATAGTCCAAACACTGATGGCATCCATGTGCAACAATCATCAGATGTGACCATCCTCAATTCGAGCATTAGCAACGGCGACGACTGCATCTCAATCAGTCCTGGGACCTCCAACTTGTGGATGGAAAGTATTACATGCGGACCTGGACATGGAATCAGGTAGCTAGAGATAGATTATGACGAACATGTTTCGAAATTGTTTTTTAAAGGGTTAAACAAATTTGTCGCATTAAATTTTAAATGATAAAACAAAAGGTTGAATTAAATTTGAGTGATTAAAAATATATTCTAAAGTTATTTTGAGTTTGCGAAAAAAGATTTAAATTATTTTTAAAATATTTTGGATCAAAATTGTTATTTAATGTACTAGGTTAGAGTGAGAAAATTACACCTCATGAAAAATTTGGGATTTTATTGAATGTATTTGTAGCATTGGGAGCTTGGGGATAAAGGCCGAGGAGGATGAAATGCATAACGTTACACTGACATTATCTACTTTCACCGGGACTTAGAATGGAGTAAGGATTAAGTGTTGGGGAAGACCAAGCCGTGGATTTGCTACAAAAGTTTATTTTCAACACATCATTATGGATAATGTGAAAAACCGGATCATAATTGATCAAAATTACTGTCCACATGAGAAAGCCTGTCCTGGTCAGGTATAATTTCTCGTCAATCTCAAACAAGTTAATTTTTTTCTAATTGTATTTAACCTTAAATTTGAATAGAACTCAATATTTTAATTTTATAAATAATTGATTTATTTTCTCTTTAATTGTTTGAAATTTGTTTGGTTTAAAATGGGTGCTAAATTATTAGTATTATTTTTTTTGTTAAATTAAATTACTTTTGTGGGTAATAAATTGCGGACTCCATCACCCTTACATATCTTAAAATGGTATGAAGTTTTTAGGTGGTAAAAATGTTTTATAGATATTCTTGTTTATCGGTTTCTGTAGCATACGTTGATCGTTCTTCTTTATTCTAACAGGCTTCTGGAGTTAAAGTCAGCGAAGTAACATACGAAGACATCAAGGGAACTTCCGCCACTGAAATAGCAATCAATTTTGATTGTAGCCCAATAAATCATTGCACTGGATTAAGCATGAAAGACATAAACCTAACTTACAAGAATCACATCGCTAAAGCTTCATGTAAAAATGCCGAAGGAACTACCTCTAGTGTGGTTGAACCTTCTTGTTGCTTAGCAGACAAATCTAATTTTTGGCAAAACGTGTTGGTACTAAGATTAAAGGATAATAAATATGCTCTAGAGGGCTTATAAATTATTTACCAATTCTACCATAAAAATCGAACAACTTTGACAAAAGCTGAAACCCAATAAACTTTTTCGTATGGTATGGTATTTAGTGATTTAAAGCAATTGCAGTCGTGGAGTAGGTCTAAGTGTTCCCACTAGACGAGACAATGTCAATGAAATATTATACTAGAATAACTCTTATTGCTATAGTTGTTAAATATTATACTAGAATAACTCTTATTCCTATAGTTGTTTAAGTAACTATTAGTTTGCTCAACCACATCATTAACAATCTTAATAAATCTACCAATTATTTTAGATACCGTAGTTTATCCTTTTAAGAGTTTAGCTTAATATTGACCCGTGCAAATAACTTCCATAGGAGGACAGTCCAAAAGCCACCGCGAACCTCTATATGGATCTCACATTATGAACCAATGATCGAGACCGTATGATATATTGTCATGTTTCCTTCTCGCTATTTTGAAAATAGTTCATACTTACGCAAACTAGGGTAGACTTATTTATTTGTAAGTGAACTCGAACTAAAAACCCACTTTGTTGTCAATAACTTCCCTTCTAGACTTTGTGGCCATCTACCAATATTTTTCTTTTTATTTTTAGGGCATTTTTTAATCATTCCGCATTGGACAAGACTTCTCTAGAGTTGAATTTGGGACTTATGGGCTCAATCTTAAGAACGAAGAAATGAACTATTGAGTAAGACCTGAACCTTTCCTTCATGAAATACTCTCATTATTGAAATTGACATACTCGATCTTAAGGTTTATGGTGATTGCAACATTTTCATAAAGGACTTAGAATTGAAACACAGTGGATTGATTGATCAAATTTGAATTTCAAATGTCGGCTTTGAGACCCAAAAAAGAGAGTTTAATCCTAAAAGTTTCCTCTCATTTCTTGTTAATAAGGTATAATTTTGGGCTCTTAGCGTTCATAACAAAGAGTGTGAAATCATAGTGAACTGAGGGCTAGAACGTGCAAATGGAAAAAAGTTTTAGTCACCGAAGTTCGGGGTAAGTTTGGTTAACCCCATGATTTTGCGCCTCAATTTCTCTTTTCTTAGTTAATGTTAATTGCTGAGATTGGTACCGACATGTTCAAGTTCAAGATATTTTGAAGTTTGGTGAAGGAACCAATTTCAATCGAGGCCTAGAATGTGTTGATTGATGGGTATCGTTCTATCTAAGCCTTCCCCACACGCATGTCGGAATGGTCACAAGGTAGAAGATGGTCATGTGGTTGGTTCAACTGAACTAACCATTAATGGTTGATCTAAACCCCATCCTTTAAACTCTTTAATGTTTTTGTTCCACTGTCATTGAGCCATTGAAGCTTGTAAGGTTTATGATGGTGTTGGGTTGGAATTAGCAACCTTTTGATCCGCATGGTACTTACGACATTGGTGCAGCTTCTGCTATCAATTACAAGACTACAAAAAGTCCCCTTGACTAAACACCTTGTGTGAAATAGGTTGTCTCTTTGATCATCAACATCGTTCTCTGTAACTTGAGTTTTAAGAAGTCTTCTAGTAACAAGTACCAAATGACTCCCATCTTCCAGTTACTCCTCATTCTCCTGGATTTCTTGATGATCATGACTCTCTTGTTATGACAATCACGACTAAGATGACCAATTCCTTGACATTTCCAACATTTTATGTCTCTATTTGTTTCTCGAATCTCCTTGTATTCCTCTGCTTTTTCTTTACCCTTGGAGGTCTCAGCTTTGTTCTTTTTGTCAAGATCATACTTGCCTCTAACTTTGAAATCTATCTTTTCAATATTTGTATTCTTTTTCCTAAGTGTTGAAAGTAGTAGACTTTGAAATACCATACCTCTTGGACTTCTCCTTCTCCCAAGCTAGTTGCCCTTCGATTTTGACAGCAAGGTGTAACAATTCTTGCATATCAAAGTACGCTTGCCTATCCACTTGATGAGCAAGTTGTCGGATTAACCCACCAAGGAATCTAGCAAGTTAATTATGAAGTATCAACAAAATAAAACAAGAAATGAACAAACAAATAAGAGACACAAAGATATTTTTGGATAGAATTGCATACTGAAAAAATTAAAAAAAAAAAATTCCAAAAGAAAGAACATGAAGATTTTAAGAACGATCTAAATCTCCTTTTTACAAAATTCGGAAAATTTAAAAGTTATCTTCAAGTGTAGATTATGAGAGGAAAAAAATTATCAAACACAACGGTTCTAGATTTAGATGGATTAAGAAAAGGATGTGAATCAAAGTTTATTTGATCTTCAAATAAACATGCAAATGGTAAAAAAAATGATAAAATTCGTTTATAATCACAATCGTAAGAACAAATATGATAAGAATTTTTTTTTTCAAGATCTCAATGTGATCTGTAGAAGAAAATGAGAACAAAATGAAGAGTTGATGAATAATGGGGAAATGACAGCAAGAAAATAAATGGATAGATTTAAAGAAAAGATAAACAATAGCAGAAATGAAAGATAAAATCAATTCTAGAGTCGGCCACAAATATGTAAACCTAGGCTCTGATACCAAATCGATAAGGCAACCCTAATCCTCAGCCCAACGATCCAAGCTTTTGTTGAAGCAAGAACCCTTAAATCAAAGTAACTACCACCTCCTTATACGAAATTTGGATCAACCAATAGATAATGCTAGAATTAGATTACCTCTTATGATCGAAAATCTAGAAGCAAGATTTGGAAACCTTGTTCTAAATTGAGTCACTCCACAATCGAACTTGATCAAGGCTTGGTTGAATGACTCGGGTGCAATTCTATCACAAGAATTGCTTGAAACTTAGAAATGAAAAATATGATGCTCGAATTTGTAAGGAAACGTCTCAATTTGAGATTTGAATTACATTCTTCCACGAATCTGAATTTTACATAACATATTATGGGTATTTATAGTATCCCGACAAAAGACGTTTGTGGACAACATTTATTCCCGATCCCCTTTAATCTCCACAAAAGAATAAGTCAAATTAGCCATTTGACTTTTACATAATTTATGAAATTAAAAATAGTTCTTTGAATCAAATGTTGATGTGCTTAAGTTGGTTTGAAATCAATTGAGCTCTCTGCGCGTAGGTTTGAATTCTATTGTTGACATTTTAAAGTTTTCCAACTTTAACCGTGTAAATATTCAATTGTCCTTTTGTCCTTCGTCAATCGTATCAGCTTCTAATTCTAGAAATGATGGTTGAACCGAGCCGATCCATTTTTTAGATGAAGAATGAATGTTTGTTGAATCTTCTTCGCCTTGGATCGTGTAATAAGTCCAGTTGGAACATTTGAAACACTGTGATTCTTATCAATAGAAATATACATGTCTAGGACCTTGAATCACAATTTACAGGGTACACTGAAACACTGTGATTCTTATCAATAGAAATATACGGTGCTAAGGATCTAATCCTTACAGGGTACACTAACTCAGATTTTCAGACCGATATAGATTCGAGGAAATCGACATCAGGATCTGTCTTCACTCTGAACGGAGAAGCATAAAGCAAGGTTGCATTGCTGATTCCACCATGGAGGCTGAGTATGTTGCTGCTTGTGAATCAACAAAAGAATCTGTATGGCTTAGGAAGTTCTTAACTGATTTGGAACGACGAATCAACAAAAGAATCTGTATGGCTTAGGAAGTTCTTAACTGATTTGGAAGTCGTTCCAGATATGCATCTTCCCATCACTCTTTATTGTGATAACAGTAGAGCAGTTGCAAATTCAAAAGAACCAAGAAGCCATAAGCAAGGAAAACATATTGAGCGCAAATATCATCTCATAAGGGAGATTGTGCAACGAGCAGATGTGATCGTCACACAGATAGCTTTAGAGCACATAATTGCTGATCCATTTACAAAGCCCCTCAAGGCTAAAGTGTTTGAAGGGCACCTAGTGAGTCTAGGACTACAAATTATGTAATCTAGGGCAAGTGGGAGAAAAGACATGAGTATGTGATGACCTAGTTTATTGTATTTATGTCTTTCTCTCTACTCAACGTTATAAAACCCCACTAGAGTTTTAGTCCAAGTGGGAGTTTGTTGGGTTTTATGTCCTAAAACTCATAGTTTGTAAACAAAAACATATTCTATTTTCAATAAAGTTATTATTGTTGTTTATTCAATAAAGATTGTTATTGAATAGTAAAATTTACGAACATTAATCTAAATCCAATAAATTAAGAACACTCTAGCTATAGTGTGATTACTTGAACTATTTGTAGAGACGTAAGAGTTGATCAAGTTCAAGTATATAGTCAAAATGATCTATAGTATAAGGATAAGGCTGAGTACCTTATTCTGGAGACACTATGGATGCGGCCCACTTCTGTATATGATATAAACAATGTGATCACTAAAATTGTACATGTGGAGACATGTGAGTGGGGGTGTCCTATGCAATGAGTATTGCATAAGATCAGACCATGAAGAAAATCACTCTCACTTTATAATGTCGTTTACTGTTGAGACTGATTTTCTTTTCATTCGATGACCTAGGTAACTCGATCTTAATCTTGAGCTAACCATGAACTCTTGTTTATTCGAAATTATCCTTAAATTTGCTTGGGTGAGAGTGACTCAAGTTCGCCGACTCAATAGGCCTCCCATTTCAGGGGTAAGACTGGGTAAATGGCTGGGGACGTGGGGTGCAACATGGAATTCACTCCTACCCACTTTTAGGGATAGAAGAGAGGTAGTTCCCTTAAGTACTGACTCCAGTTCTTGAACAAGGGGCCCCACCCTCTCATGGGCCTAAGAGGGATTCGGTTTACTGGTTGGACCACAAACCAATTGTTCATTAGAGGATCAGTGAGATATAAGAAACAAGAAGTAACTTCAAGGGTAAAATAGTAAATTGACCCAGCTCTAGTTACGAACAACCTGTGAAGGATCGACTTACTAATCATGGTTATATCAAATGGACAGAAATATATCTATAGTGAGGGGAGTGCAACTACTAGGTTATAGTGGAATGTCCTAGTAGTTAACGAATGTTGGTTAACAAGGTTAATGAGTTTAACCGGTTAATCTTGGATCCTTGAAGCCCATGATCTATAGGTCCATTAGGTCCCTCTACTAGCTCATATCGGACTAAACCATAAAACAGTGTGACGAGTGAGTTCGAAGTGTTTGAATTCAAATTAGGGAGAATGCGCTACATATATACGATACATTTAACTGCATTTTTGTTTTATTTACGAATTAAATAAAAAGAGAGAATCTGAGATATTTAAATAAGATTTAATATCTTAATCAAATATGTGTCGGAATTAATTGGGATAGGCATTTGAATTAATATTAAATATTAATTAAATAGTTTAATTAATCATTTAATATTACTTTAATTTGAAATTAATAATTCAAATTGATTGTTGAATCAAAATGAAGAAAGTCAAAATGTTGACTTCATTTAATGAAAAAAACCATGTTAGTGGAATTTTGAGGTGTCAAAATTTAGTTTAACCAAACTTGCATGTTTGCCAAATAAACCCCACAAATTTGAGTGGAATTTTGAGTGTTAAAATTTGGTGATCTCAAATTTGCATGAACATGCAAACATAACTCTATAAATAGGGTGATCATAATACATGAAACTTGCTTCTTCTTGGTGAAAAACCTTGAGAAAAACCTCTCACAAACACTCTCTTCATATATACAAAATCTCTCCTAAGTTTAAGTCACTCACCGGTTTCCACAATCTCGTTCTAAGGCCGATGGATAATGGAGAAGACACTAGTGGTGGTTCGAAACGGGTTCGTGAGGAAAAAGGAATTTTAATTACAAAAGGTTAGTATTCAAACTCATTAAGTTTTAATACTTATGAACATGCTAGTTATTTACTATTATTGATGTTCTAAAAGTGCCTAAGATCCAAATTGCTTCCGCATGTGTTATATTAACACCATCAGGGTCCTCGACACAGGAGCGACAAACCATATGACCGGGGTCAAGTCTGCATGAGGAGCCAATTCAACTGAAGAAGAAGCGAGTGATCGCTTAGATCGGTGAGAGGGACGAGCAGCAAGAGCCACCAGCGATGGGTCCTCGACACAGGGGTGACAAAACATATGACCGAGGCCAAGTCTGCATTCTCCAAGCTCGACTTCAGGATTTACGGGACGGTTAAGTTCGACGATGGCTACGTCGTTGAGATCGAAGGACGTGGCACCATCCTGTTCATCGGCAAGGGAGGTGAGCACTACAAGCTGACCGCGTCTACTTCATCCCGAAGCTCAAGGCAGATTTATGGTTAACATTGACCTCAACGTACATAAGACCTTAACTCTTTTGGCTTTTTGACGCTTGAAAGCAAATAGGTACTTTAGGACTCGCAATTTTGGGTTTTTGATGCTTTGGCTCGAAAGGCATGAAGGTCCACCGTTTGTGGGCATTCAGATTCTCGATAGACCACCTTATATATGAAGCTGGATGAGGACCATTGATTGTAGTTGTTCTGGCTGTGAAGTCCTTGTCATGGACTTCTACCAATATTTTTGGAGAATTCATAGTCTCCTCCTACTGCTTCAAGTCTCCCATGGTTGGGATTTATGCCCTAAAGATTTATAATTAATTATTTAATAATTCATTTATTCGTAATTTTATATTATCGCTGGTATGGAAAATCCAAGATGTCACGACACGAATTTTGAGACTTCGAAAGTTGGATCGAAAGTAAAAAGACGAAAGCGAAAACAAATAAAAATATAAGTAAAATAAAATAAAATAAAATAAGAAAATGCAGTAAAATTAAAATCAAATTAAGTTAAACAATACCACTTTAACATAACATTACAAGACTTTAAATTTATTACAATGGGGAAAATGGATTTTGATACAACTAAAAAATGAAAAAGACAAGACTGAAAAACGGGAAGAAGGACTGAAGTTCCATAACGACCCCCTCTCTGACTGCATAGCTCTCGAACGCTCCTCCACCTTGACTTATAACCTGCAAACACCTAAAAAAGAAAAGAAAACCGAGTGAATTTATAAATATACCTAGTAAGTATCCTGCTTGTAGGAACAACTTACGTAGAGTAACTAATCTTCGATCTCTACCAATTGATTAGCCCGGGACTTACCCAGTTGTTTTGCAGCAGACATGTTTGTATACTACGATTCAAGGAGCAAACTTTGCTCTAATACCGCTTATCACAATCACATTCTTGTGGAGCGGAATAAAGATTTTGCTACACATATTCTAAATTGATGAACAAGTCAACAGTATGAAAATTGTAAGTCGTAGACAATTCGGACGTTTGATCGAGCCTTGGTCATGTTTGAAAGAAAGTGTTTTAGAAAATGTAAGCGAAGAATTGATAGAATCTTCTAATTTTTTATTTTTTATTTTTTGGAAGAAAACAATGTTATAGACTAAAAGAAAATAAGCAACAACTACACCTTTTAAAGCTTATAACCCGAAGAGTTGATGACTAGTTTCATCACCCTATAGTACATTTTGGATTATTTTAGCCCTAGAGGGTGTAGACATGATTTGGTTGACAGGTTATGTCCCCGTACTTACACAACAAGAATAGATATGTGGCTCCACATCCCCCGCTCAGGAATGAGTTTCTACGGCCCAGGAGTCCTGTTCAGAAGACCCCTAAGCTATCACCACTAGGTTTGGGCACCTATCACACTTCCCTATCCGGATTTTCCAAGCTCAATGATCTCCGTACTAGAGCTCTGTCTCGATGGTACGGTATCGGAGGAGAGAGGGAAGTGGAGGTTCTGATGACACTATCTATACTGCTCAACTCTAACGGGCTGCCTATGGTTACCATGGTGACCTATTATTCTTTCTAGGGTGGAACTTGGTGGCTTAGACTTGAATGCATGTATCTCTAGGATTCTCGTGTCTAGTCTCACAAACCTATCGGGTTTGGAATTCTGGGCTTTGGATCCGCCGGTAATCTTTTCGCGGGTCTAATTACATGATATTCTATAGGTCTCCCAATCTAGGGTCTCATCTATCCTACTTAGTCACAAGCACCCTAATCTAAGCTCATAATTTCTTCCTATTCATCAAGAAAGATAACACAAGCAATAATCATGCATAAGAATTAACACGCTGTAGTTCATGCAATATGAACAAACATGCTCAACGGGAAGATAACGTCCATCTTTTCTTGGAGAGCAGATTTCACAAGTTTCCCATCCTCCTCATGCATACATACTTTATCAAAATCTCAATCAAACAGATTTAATAAACATTTCCTATCTAGCTTTCCTTATTCATTTCATTTTCGCAGTTTCCATACTAATATACTAGGTTCAGCTAGCTAAGTTAATGGGTGGTAGCATGCATGCTGGTTCCTAGCGGTTCCTACAAGTATTGCTTGTAGGAATCCAAATGGCTACTTACATGGTTGACGCGTTCTTTCCAAAGGTCGAATTATTTGCCGGAAAAGGTTTCAAAAATTCTAGAATTTCCTTGAGAGGTTCTAATTCACATAAAAATAGGATTAGAGTTGAAATCGGGGCAGAAAAAAAAGAAAATGTTGGTCGAATGGAGGGAAAACGGTCACTCACGTGCTCTGGAGGGTGTATTTCGCGCGCGTGTTCATGCGCGACTTCCGCGCAGTCGCTGGCCAGCGGCCTGTTCAGGCCGGTTCGAGTGGTTCGGACTCAGGCCTACCCAGTTGCACGCGCCTGATGTGCTTCTCCAGCCCGCGGTCACCACGTGTTGCCCGTCGGTCCTACAACGCTCCTCTGTACGTCGGCCAACACGTGGCGGCGATGCCTCCTCTCTCCTTCTACGTTTTTTTCAAATTTTCCAGAAACATGAGTTTTGGCGTTTTCAATCCATTTTCTTCCGATTTTTATATCTTCCAATTCGTAATCCAAATCAATAAGTTCTCTTTATGAATATTGTAGATCTCATATTCTATTTTTACAATATATTTTTCTTGTATTTTTTTGATAATCACAGGTCTTATTATTTGAGTTCGAATTTGGGGAAAAACATGAGTTCTTATCGAAAATAACGTTTTCTTGAAACTCCGATTTTCATCCAGAAACTTCAAGAGATCTGTGTGAATCTTATTTTAGTTACATACCTCAAAATTTTTAGATCTAACGCTCAAGAAACTCCTGAAGTCTAGATAAAATCAAAACAAGAAGTTTGGAACTTTACTTTGTCCGTTCTCGAATTTTCTTGTCGGAATGAGTGAATCCACCACCCAAACTCCTTTTCCAGCACTGAAAGAAGTATTGCTTCCAAGTTTCTTGCCTTGGATTCAATCTCCAATGGCGGTTTGTCTTCTCTGTTCTTCCTCTCTCCCAAACCCTAACTTCTTCTCCTTTCTCCTTTCTCTCTCTCTCTTTTTTTCTTTTCTTTCTCTTTCTTCCTGGAGCCCAAACAATTAGACGCCTTAGGTAAGGTAGGGGCAAAATGACCCTTTTTCCCCTATGTTGTTATTTTTATTTTTTTATTTATTTATCTAAAAATATGGGTATTACAATTCTCCCCACCTTAGGAACTTTCATCCTCAAAAGTTTATCCTCCCCGGAAGAGTTCGGGGTAAGACCTCCTTGTGTCATCCACACATTCCTAGGTGGCTTCGTTGTCCTGATGGTTTTCCCATAAGACCTTGGCTAATGGAATCTCCCTTTTCGTGGTTTCCTCACATCACCTGCCATTATCCCTATGGATTTTTCTTCATACGTTAGATCCTCTTGAAGGGGAAGTGTCTCGTGATCGATGATGTGAGTAGGATTCGGGGTGTAATTTCTCAACAACGATACATGGAGTACGTTGTGCACTACGGCGAGCGTGGATGGTAATGCTATTCTGTATGCCATGGGCCCTACCCTTTCTAGGATTTCAAAGGGACCCACGAACCTCAGGCTCAACTTGCCCTTCTTTCCAAACCTTAACACTTCTCTCATTGGGCAACTATTGAAAAGACGTGATCACCCACTGCAAACTCGAGGTCTTTCTTACGAGAGTCTGCATAACTCTTTTTCCGACTTTGTGCAGAGAGTATCCTTTGTCTAATTTTATGTACTGCTGCGTTGGTAGTCTGTACCAACTTTGACCCCAACAACTATTTCTTGCCTACCCTCTCCCAGAATATAGGAGTTCTACACCTCCACTCATATAGAGCTTCGAATGGTGTCATTTGAATAGTTGCCTGGTAACTATTGTTGTAGGCAAATTCCATAAGGGCCAAGTGCTCATCCCAGCAACCTGCAAAGTCTGTAACACACGCCCTCAACATATCTCTAGGGTTTGATTAAGTCTTTCGGTTTGACTATCTGTCTGAGGATGGAATGCAGTACTGAACTTGAGTTGTGTTCCCAACGCCTTCTGTAACCATTTCCAAGAGTCAGAAGTAAACTTAGCATCCCTATCAGACACAAAGGACACTGGTACGCCGTGCAGACGGACTACCTCCTTGATGTGCAATTGGGCCCATTGGTTCACTCGATAAGTGGCTTTATCTGGGATAGAGTGGACTACTTTAGTCAATTTATCTTCAATGGCCCAGATGACGTTGAAGTCTCATCGGGCCTTCGGTAGGCCCGAGATGAAATCCATACTTATTTCCTCTCATTTCCACACTGGAATATTCAGCAGTTGCAACAACCCTACTTGTCATTGTTTCGGGGCCTTTACATACTGACAGATAAAACACCGACCCACGTACTCAACTACGTCCTTCTTCATTCCTAGCCACCAATAACTACACTTTAATTCCTGATACGTTTTAGTACTACCAGGGTGAAATGTGTAGGACGTGTTGTGTGCCTTAGTCATCATTTCCTGTAGAATCTTCTCATCTCAAGGTACTCATAATCGATCCTACCACATCAAGTCCATCTTCAGAAGAAACTGAGTATCCCTCTGGTCTCTCAGTTTCCTGCTGACCCCAGATCTTACTGAGGTGCGTATCAGCTCTCTGAGCTTCGATGTTATGTCTCTTGAGGGTGGGTTGGACTGAAAGTTTGCACTAGTTGAGCGGTTGCACCTCTAACCAAGACCTCTATACCAGCCCTCTATATCCCATCCTATAGATACCTTTGTCTCATGATCAGGGCAGATGTGTGGGTTGTCTTTCTGCTCAAGGCATCCACCACTACATTGGCTTTTCTTGGTTGGTAAAGTATTTCAATATCGTAGTTCTTAACTAGTTCTAACTACCTCTGCTATCTCATGTCCAACCCTTTCTATGTAAACATATGCTAAGGCTCTTGTGGTCAACATACACCTGAACTCTCTTGCCATACAGGTAGTGACGCCAGATTCTCAATGCATACACCACGGCTGCTAGCTCCAAACCATGGGTGGGGTAGTTGCGCTCATACTCTTTCATTTGTTTAGAGACATAGGCTATCACTTTGCCCTTTTGCATGAGTACACACCCTAACTCTTTTCCTGAGGAGTCGCTGTAAACCACAAGTCCACCTTACCCATCAGGCACTATAAGTACAGGTGTAGTGCCCAACCTCGTTCTCAATTTCAGAAAACTCTATTCACACTCTAGTGTCCAGACAAAGAGTTTCCCTTCTTGGTCAATTGTGTCACACTGCTGAGGTCTTAGGAAATCTTGTACAAACCTTTTATAAAAGCCTGCTAGACCGAGAGCACTCCTTACTTCAGTGACAGTGGTTGGTCTAAACCATTTCAAAATTACTTCAATCTTAACGGGATCCACCTTATCCCCTACTTGGATACTTTGTGGCCAAGAAAGGCCACCTCCTACAGCCAGAATTCGCACTTCGTGAATTTAGCATACAACTGGTGGGTTCTCAGTTGAGTTAAAATATTCCTCAGGTGTTCCTCATGCTCTACCTCAGACTTAAAACACACTAGAATGTCGTCAATGAAAAAATCATGAAGATGTCTAGGAATTCCTTAAACTCTCTGCTCGTCAGTTCCATAAACACTACAGAAGCGTTAATTAAATCAAAAGTCATAACTATGAACTCATAATGTCCATTGCGGCTTCTATGTCTTCCCCTTAGGTTCTTATCTAGTGATATCCCGACCTTGTCGAGATGGTTTTTACTACTTCTCCAAAATAGCCTTGTAGTTTCATCTCATTTAGCCAACTTTCTTCTTAGTGAGATGCCTTGTTACGTGACTCGCTTAAGTACTAATACCCATATGAGCTAAGTACAGGCTCTTTTTGGGAGTAAGGGTTCTTACATGAGTTCTCTACATTCACCTAGGTTAACCCCTGTAGTATCTTTTATGCTGAGCTAGTCACATTTACTCTCGTAGTGATATCTGACCACTGGCTTTTTCAAGCATGTGAACCTTTCAAGTTCTTGCACAGGATCCTAGGGAACTCTCTGAAAACTCTTGTTTGGTAGCTAGCCTCCCTCAAACTTTGAGGATACTGCATCTAGTGTCTTCTCTGAGACATGTCATGTCTCTACTAGTCTTACCTGTTTACAAGTCTTCATCTCACTATCCTTTCGGTAGTTTCCAAAATTACGTTGTTTGGAAGTTCTACCTCTACCTGAGAATGCTTCACAAGTTTAGCATTACACTCGTGTATGAAACTCGAGTTCTACTCTTTGTAGTCCGGATCACCTACACAAGGGTTGGTTCTTATTGACGCCCATCTGGACTTTCTTCCTTCAGACGGTAAAGGCATGGCCATAGCTTGACCTCTTTTCTTGCTGTTCTCAACCCTGAGGTTTACTAACTACCTTGATAGTTCCACGTCCTTCACCTTGTGAGCATACATGCCCTGACCAAAGGATAGGTTATAACACAATTTTATGGTCCAAATAACCACGTGCTGCTTTTGGACTTGGTCCTCTCCACCAAGGTCCAAAGCAACTTGTCATCCATTAGGTGATCCTTTAGTAGGAATATCCTACACCCCATGACTCATTAGTGGCATAAAAACGCACCATCTCACTTATGGAAGTCCTTAAACCTCAACTTATATCGTGAAGACTCCAACCAACCTTGAAGCCGTGGCCTCCATAGCTTCATTCTCTCTGTTGGTGAATCTTATCTCTCGACTACCAACTTAACCAAACTCACTCATGAAAATGGTTTGCTTGAGGGGTGCTTAATTCCTACAATGGCTGCCCTTACTTGTAAGGATGATGTTGTCTGGGTCTACTATGTGATTTGCAACAAGACAGCCCTATACTTTCTAGGCCTACTACGTGGCCTCCACGGAGGCATGCTTGACGTCTAGAATTAAGGTCATGGGAGGCTGGGTCAAAGGTATATCATCTCATATTGGGCCTTAAAAGTCTCATGTATATTTCTATAGGTTGGACATCGCACACTCTGCGGAGTCACCTTTCTGTCTTCCTAAGGCCAGTAAACTAAAACATGACCCCCCTCGGCATCCTCACAATAAATCGAATCTAGCATCAACATATAGAGGGAATATTCACTTTTAACACCCTAAGGCATTAACCCAAAAGATACATCAAGTTCTTATTGGCGTTACATCATATCATAACCTACTAAACAAGGTTAGACTGCATACCTGGTCGCGGCGAGGCATGTCGTCGAGCTGAGTCACATAGGTGTCCAACTCTCTATCCTTGGAAAAAGTCTACATAATAAAAAATCGACTACTCTGATACCGATCTGTCATGACCCGACTTTCGAGGCTTTGAAAGACCGAATCGTGACTAAAAAGACGAAATCGAAAATAAATAAAAATAAAAAGAAAATAAAATAGAAGGTAAAAATCGAGCAAAATTTAAAACAATAAAAGGAAATCAAGGACACCAAAATTAAATATAAAATTAAAGTCAAATGTTAAAAATAGGAATTACAAATATAAAATGAAATACAGAAGACTCTAAATATGAAAACGGACAAAAGACTCTAAAAGATCAACAAGCGACTGACGCTCCAGAACGACACCCCTTTGTGAGAGTCCAGCTCTCGAACACCTCCCCGTATCGAGTGGTACTTGAAAAAAATGGGGAGAATGGGGTGAGTATAAAAATATACTCAGTAAGCAACCTACTTGTAGGCTCTTTTCGCATCCTTATCTTAGTAGGTATCCACGGTCTTATCTCTGGGTTCTAATGAGTATGAATCACGCTACAACTCTCTTTTCTGTATCTTAGGAGGCTTGCCCATCTTATGCAGTGAAATGATCAGTGTCATGAGGTGAGGCGCGACCTCATAAGTAAATCTGAGGGGATCATATGGCTGGATCTGAATACGTGACTCTTTCTAAACATCATCCGTGGAGGTTAGCTGACGACCCTCACACGGGATCATACATCCACTAAATTAGGGGTGCGACCCACTGTGTGCTGGTCAGCTATTGAGTCATCCTATGGGCTCCACCTTTTCCAACCCAATCGGTTTTCCCCTTGGCCAATATAGTCTCTCTCATTTTCTTCCCAATCGACCTTCATCCTTCATATAAACCCTAACCTAAACCTATCAACCTTTTGCAGAGATTTACCTTCGGAATTTGGGTGCCGCACTGGCCTATTCGTCAACCAAGTTGCCGCCGCCCTTCCTGCCAAAATTGGCTTCTTCGCCCGATGAGGCGACTCTTCCGACTGCCCTTCTCGCCAAAATTGGCTCCTTCGCCCAATGTGGCGACTCTTCCGGCTTCAACAATGTCTTTGTCCCTTGCTTTAGGTTTCCCCTTCTACTTCTTGGGGTTAGAAATATTCTCACCAGAGCCAAGACAGCATTGTCGCTAAGCGACAATCCCTCTTCATGGGTTAGACATATTCTCGCCGAAGCCAAGGCAGCATCGGCGCTGAGCGGCGATCCCTCTGCAAATTTTTGATGGGCAAGAACTGGGTTGTTAGCATCTTCATGAAAAGTGTTTCTCAACCTCTTTGAATTTTTCAGATTCAAGCTTCACGTTCGTTTAAATCCGACGCTTAGCTTGCGGTGGGGTGTTAAGGATATTTAGTAATAAATTATAGTTTACCATATATATTATATTTGATATTTTATTATAAGGCAAATATAGGTATCTTTCCATTTATTGTTATTTCCATTTATTACTATTTCCATATTCTTGTAATTTATTTGATTATAAATAAGATAACTTTCACACCATTTAGGTGTGGTGGATTAATCAAACATTCACACTTATGCATGTTGATTTCTTGTGTTATCTTTTTTGATGAATAGGAAGAAATTACGAGCTTAGATTAGGGTGCTTGTGCCTAAGTAGGCTAGATGAGACCCTAGATTGGGGGACCTCCAGAATACCGTGCAATTAGACCCGCGAAATGATTACCGGCAGATC